TGAACAGAGCGTTGCAGAAAATAGATCGATTTTTGCCGCACCCTGTATATTAAACTTTATATTTCTTACACTAATTGGTTTATCAATTTAAATTATATTCGTGCAGTAACAGTATATATTGCACCTCAGTTTAGTCAACTGGATAATAAGAGGAAGAAAAATATATAGTACAGACTCGTACTAGTGGCAGTGTTAAATGTAAATTACTCAAAAAACCCTTCTACTACTTTTTTGTTTTTACATTTGTCTAGTTTGAATAAGTCAACTAAACAACCGTACCAGTTCAACGGTAAACTCAACATTTATATATGAGTATTGCAATTTAGTTTACTAGAGAAACCACTTCAAAGTAAATGTATAACATACAGAGGAGGCAGAATTAGCTTAGAAATAAACTTCCTTGAAGAGTAGTTAACTGGGATCACATGGCCTAAGGGTACCGCTTAGCTTCAAAAGGAATCTCCTTAAGGTATTAAATGAGGTATTAAATAAGATTCACTTGAGAACATCACCAAAGACCACAAAGTTATACCGGAGGTAAGTCTTCAGGGAGCATCATAAATAATTTATTGCAAATTGTTACCAACCCAACTCTTATATTGCATCCACGGAACGTTTCACTTGAAAATGTTGCGAAATTTGAAAACTGTATTAAAAATTAAGGAAACAATCATTTCAACAAAATTTATAAATTAATAATGGTACAATCACGGAAACAGGTACAAACTAATAGTAATATGAAAATGGCGTCCTTAATATTAGAGAGTATTTTATAATTGTTGAAACTGTTAAATTTACAGTTAAAAAACTTAAAAGTTAATACCTATTTTAGTCGTATCTTATTGATTGGAGGTTTGTAGTGTCAGTTCAATAAGAGTACGTAAAGAGGGCGTTTTACTACCAAGAAACGAATACAGAAACTAATAACTATTCAGATAGTTTTATAACTAACAATCGGTTAAAGTAAGGTCATTAGTCTTGGTTTCTTGTTCCTATTGCTAAATATCAGTTTTATGCTGGGGTTATTTATCAGGATAACGGCGTGTAGTTCAGTCAAAGACAGTTATATTCTCACCTTATCGAATGTTTTGCTGGTTAGATGCTATATAAATTAGAGCTTTTAATAGATTATTTGCCCTAACATAGTAACCTTCTGGTCTCTATCAATAAAAAATACGTAAGCATCACACCTATTAAACACATTTTAGGGTCATTTAGAAAAATTCCTACTTTCGTAGCGTTTTTATTGAAATTAAACTTAAGTAATAATCAATGAATTAGACGCCATAAAAAATATGTTCTGTACTTATCTGTAGCTGTTCTTTCTAATAGCCTGTAAAATGACATAAGCACATAGGCATTCATATAAGACATTACACTGTAGTGTTTAATTAAAAGGAGAGCGACGAAATACGTTCATAATTGAAATTGGGATCAAATAAATTTACCGCTTCTCTTAAACGGTTTATAATAATAATTTATATACCCATTCGAAAGAAAATTGTTCTGCAGGATGGCCTTGCTTTAAGATTTTCATACGTTCCTTCCATTTGCATATTTTAGCGAACCGGCAGGGCAGAAATGTGTTGTCGGAAAAGGAAGCCAGCTGCGACCGTGGCTCGTATACAATGTTTGCTGTGGTTGGCAGTCTGTGAAATTAGGTAAGAGATGTAGTAGTTGTAGAGCAGCGTGCACTCGGCTACCTTGCGAGTGACACTGGGCTAATTACAATGAAAGTGACGTGACCGTGGCATATACCCTGTCTGCTGTGGCTGGCAGTCTGTGAAATTAGGTAAGAGATGTAGTAGTTGTAGAGCAGCGTGCACTCGGCTACCTTGCGAGTGACACTGGGCTAATTACAATGAAAGTGATTTGACCATGGCATATACACTGTCTGCTATGGCTGGCAGTCTGTGAAATTAGGTAAGAGATGTAGTAGTTGTAGAGCAGCGTGCACTCGGCTACCTTGCGAGTGACACTGGGCTAATTACAATGAAAGTGATGCGACCGTGGCATATACACTGTCTGCTGTGGCTGGCAGTCTGTGAAATTAGGTAAGAGATGTATTAGTTGTAGAGCAGCGTGCACTCGGCTACCTTGCGAGTGACACTGGGCTAATTACAATGAAAGTGATTTGACCATGGCATATACACTGTCTGCTATGGCTGGCAGTCTGTGAAATTAGGTAAGAGATGTAGTAGTTGTAGAGCAGCGTGCACTCGGCTACCTTGCGAGTGACACTGGGCTAATTACAAAGAACATAATGCGACCGTGGCATATACACTGTCTGCTGTGGCTGGCAGTCTGTGAAATTAAGTAAGAGATTTAGTAGTTGTAGAGCAGCGTACAGTCGGCTACCTTGCGAGTGACACTGGGCTAATTACAATGAACGTGATTTGACCGTGGCATATACACTGTGCTGTGGCTGGCAGTCTGTGAAATTAGGTAAGAGATGTAGTAGTTGTAGAGCAGCGTACAGTCGGCTACCTTTTGAGTGACACTGGGCTAATTGCAATGAACGTGATTTGACCGTGGCATATACACTGTGCTGTGGCTGGCAGTCTGTGAAATTAGGTAAGAGATGTAGTAGTTGTAGAGCAGAGTTAACTCGGCTACCTTGCGATTGACACTGGGCTAATTACAATGAACGTGATTTGACCGTGGCATATACACTGTGCTGTGGCTGGCAGTCTGTGAAATTAGGTAAGAGATGTAGTAGTTGTAGAGCGGCGTGCACTCGGCTACCTTGCAAGTGACACTGGGCTAATTACAATGAACGTGATTTGGCCGTGGCATATACACTGTGCTGTGGCTGGCAGTCTGTGAAATTAGGTAAGAGATGTAGTAGTTGTAGAGCAGCGTACAGTCGGCTACCTTTTGAGTGACACTGGGCTAATTGCAATGAAAGTGATGCGACCGTGGCATATACACTGTCTGCTGTGGCTGGCAGTCTGTGAAATTAAGTAAGAGATGTAGTAGTTGTAGAGCAGCGTGCACTCGGCTACCTTGCGAGTGACACTGGGCTAATTACAATGAAAGGGATGCGACCGTGGCATATACACTGTCTGCTGTGGCTGGCAGTCTGTGAAATTAAGTAAGAGATGTAGTAGTTGTAGAGCAGCGTACAGTCGGCTACCTTGCGAGTGACACTGGGCTAATTACAATGAACGTAATGCGACCGTGGCATATACACTGTGCTGTGGCTGGCAGTCTGTGAAATTAGGTAAGAGATGTAGTAGTTGTAGAGCAGCGTACAGTCGGCTACCTTTTGAGTGACACTGGGCTAATTGCAATGAAAGTGATGCGACCGTGGCATATACACTGTCTGCTGTGGCTGGCAGTCTGTGAAATTAAGTAAGAGATGTAGTAGTTGTAGAGCAGCGTGCACTCGGCTACCTTGCGAGTGACACTGGGCTAATTACAATGAACGTGATTTGGCCGTGGCATATACACTGTGCTGTGGCTGGCAGTCTGTGAAATTAGGTAAGAGATGTAGTAGTTGTAGAGCAGCGTACAGTCGGCTACCTTTTGAGTGACACTGGGCTAATTGCAATGAAAGTGATGCGACCGTGGCATATACACTGTCTGCTGTGGCTGGCAGTCTGTGAAATTAAGTAAGAGATGTAGTAGTTGTAGAGCAGCGTACAGTCGGCTACCTTGCGAGTGACACTAGGCTAATTGCAATGAAAGTGATGCGACCGTGGCATATACACTGTCTTCTGTGGCTGGCAGTCTGTGAAATTAAGTAAGAGATGTAGTAGTTGTAGAGCAGCGTACAGTCGGCTACCTTGCGAGTGACACTGGGCTAATTACAATGAACGTAATGCGACCGTGGCATATACACTGTCTGCTGTGGCTGGCAGTCTGTGAAATTAAGTAAGAGATGTAGTAGTTGTAGAGCAGCGTACAGTCGGCTACCTTTTGAGTGACACTGGGCTAATTGCAATGAAAGTGATGCGACCGTGGCATATACACTGTCTGCTGTGGCTGGCAGTCTGTGAAATTAAGTAAGAGATGTAGTAGTTGTAGAGCAGCGTACAGTCGGCTACCTTGCGAGTGACACTAGGCTAATTACAATGAAAGGGATGCGACCGTGGCATATACACTGTCTGCTGTGGCTGGCAGTCTGTGAAATTAAGTAAGAGATGTAGTAGTTGTAGAGCAGCGTACAGTCGGCTACCTTGCGAGTGACACTGGGCTAATTACAATGAACGTAATGCGACCGTGGCATATACACTGTCTGCTGTGGCTGGCAGTCTGTGAAATTAAGTAAGGGATGTAGTAGTTGTAGAGCAGCGTACAGTCGGCTACCTTGCGAGTGACACTGGGCTAATTACAATGAACATAATGCGACCGTGGCATATACACTGTCTGCTGTGGCTGGCAGTCTGTGAAATTAAGTAAGAGATGTAGTAGTTGTAGAGCAGCGTACAGTCGGCTACCTTGCGAGTGACACTAGGCTAATTACAATGAACGTGATGTGACCGTATAGGTTAGACTAAACCAATCTATAATGTCAGGATAGCTATGATTAGACTCATTTTGAAAAGTTAGACTAAAGTAATTAGTCCTTGAATTATTTTCAAATAATCTTGTCAAGCCTACTTAGACAAAAATCATTGCCAGAGTCCTACTTGATCTTGTGATATGTTAACCGTCTTACATTTTAGCCACTAATTTGGTTTCAAAGTATGCTACTGAAATCTATTGATTGTGGTAATGTTGTTGTCGATATGAATCCATAAATATGTTCTTAGGACAGAAAGAGTTGGTTGTTATGATGACTGGCCCATGGATCGTTAAAATTATCACTAATAAGGTTGACCCTATTAAAAAATTTGTTCATTTCAATAACGAATTCATGTACAACAATTTTTACACCCACCATGATAAATAAGATGACATGCTATGTAACGTAGCTGTTTGGTTAATTCACCAAGTGAAAAAATAACAATGTTATAACTACATTTTAGTTTCCCGGGAAACTGTTAAAACAATTCTCTACCCCATTCACACGAAAATCACCCACACATGTACACAAGTATATCGTACATAAATAAACATGTCTCACCATTTGACCAATTACAACCAACACAAACTTGACCACAACCTGATGTATAGTGGGCAAATGCAAGGAAATGGGTCCTTCTGGAGGTAAGCTGTTTTGCCTATTAAATCTATTAGTATGTTTGAGATTCTTAATAAAAAACTTTAATATGGGCTTATACCAACTATCATTGGATGGAATTTCAGTGCATTATAAATAATTGCTCGAAGACAAACAAAAACCGGATGGAAATGTCTCCAACACGTGTTATACAAACATTAGAGGAAAGTTTCGGATGTTACCTCTCCAGCTTTTTTAAATGGATTTTTTATAATATTTCCTAATAATAAGTTGTGTTTCTTAGAATAAATAGAAAATACAATATCCTATCACGTCTGTATGAAGACCAACAGTTCATTTACTATCTAAAGTAATAAACATAAACTGTTCTGTAATTCTGTATAATGTGGGATTTAACCTTGCCTCCAGCGGTCCCAACAAATGTTACGGCCAATACATGTTGCCTCAGCTCAACTTCGCCCAGCAGAACGATGACGATATTGCTGGTTATGTTGGGGGCGTCAAGAACTACGTTATGACTACTGGGATGGACAACAAACAATTCTACAACTCTTTCCAAGTAAGCCTTTTACATTGCTTTGGTGTATTCTTGTGTTATTTTATTCACCATACAATCAAAAATATAATTGTTAAAGAACTTCTGAACTGTTTCAAAAACACACATGGCAATATTTTGCAGCTTTTAAGCATGAAGTTGACTAACACAGTGAGTTGGACGATATGGTGGCTCAGTCGGACTACAAATACTTGACAGCAATAACGTGGGTCCACGTCCTGTTACCCGCAACTAAAAATTATCAGTTTAGTTCACCCTTTTTCCTGTAGCCAACCTCCCCAACCCTTGCTTTGCTGAATACTTTGCTCAGGCCCAAAGCCTATGTGAACGGGCAAGAACAAAGATAACAAGAGGCTGATAACTTTATGAAAAAATTAAAACAATTTACGTAATGTTTGTAAAGGAACCAGCCCAAAACTGCAATTGTATGAGGGAAACTCCCTTCCATGACAGACCTTGGTATCAGCGCGAAGATAGAGAAGGAAGGTGCTGCGATAGGCACGGACGTGTCAACGTTCAGAACAACTGGGAGTGGAACGACCAATCTCAGCGACACAAACACAAACAACAACACAAACAACAGCATATACAACAACACAGCCACAGTTACAAGTCTTCTAGTCCTCAACAGTGTCCTCAGTGCTGGTGTGGTCATTGAGCAACTCTGATGGAAGAGGGACTGTGACCTGTGTCAAATGTATAATAAATTATCGTGTACAGCCTTGTGTTATTACAAAAACAATTAAAGTAAGATGAGTAATTTAACATAAGATTAATATTTTAAAGCTAAAATAAATCAATTTAGTTTGTCACTGTATTTCATTATAAATGCACCTAAGCTGTAGCTAGACCCAAGAAAAAAGTCAACCTTTTAAAAATGATAATATGATAGCTTATGATAAAAAAAAACTATCAATCATACATGTAGAGTAAAAGTGAATATGAAATTCAAACATTTGTGCATTATTTGAGAGGCTCATCTTTCCCAAGTAGACATCACTCTTATTGGTTTATAGAGGACCAATTCACTTTTGACTGCAGCTATTATTCCAAAATATAAACATGCTGAAATGTCGTAAAGCTGTGATAAATACTCAAATACAAATATCACTTTTAAGAATACACATTTACCATCAGAAATTACGAAACTTAATATCCTTACACTAGGATAATTTCAATATAAAACAAAGTAATAACGTTGAAATTTTCCTTGTATAAATTAAGCAAGAAGAAATTTATAAAACTTCATACTTAAAACTAGTCCATAAGCTAGTAAAACTATTTGGCGCGAATCAAGAGTAAGCCAGAAGATAAAATACTAGTGTCTAATAAAATTTTGATTTCAGTTCAATGGATTAATTTGCTTTAATCTAGATAGAGTTAAACCAACTGAAACACGTTAAATATAGAAACAGTACTTTTAAAAACAACATATAAAATAAATTCTCAGTGAATAACCCATAGGAATGTGTGGGTATACGTACATTTCATCAATTAATACAATGCATGAAAGTTGTAATTGATTGCAAATATTTCTTAGAGCTATAAATCAGGTATTATCATTGACTATAACAGAATATAGTCAATGGTATTATTAAAACTTTGAATTTCTTCCTGTAAAAAGTTTATACTTCATAGTCAACAAATATAATAATTACAGTATACTATATATAGTAATAAGATGTGAATTTAAAATAAGTAACATTACTTTATTCATGTGTGTAAATATTTGTCAAGTATTTATTAGTATTCAGTATTTTAATTCAGTAATTTAAGTCAGTCAATAAACATTTTGTATGTATTTTATTTAAAAACAAATGTTTATATTATATTACGATTGAAATCTATAAATATTAAAACTAATATTAAAATCTTATTGAATCGAATTGTATTATTCATATCTTAAATATACAGATAAGTGTTACTGAAAATACAAACAGTTTAAAGTAAAACATTGTTAAACCAATCAGAATTTTCCCTGGAATATTTTGTCCAAAAATTACCTGCTTGTAACATATTGTAGAAGACATTCTTTAAACAACCACTAAGAATAAAATATAAGTAAGAAACATCTCAAATTCTGCACGTGTGCAACAACAAAAATCTGTAAAAAAAAGTTAAAGTTAAAATTTAGTGAAACTGAAAATAACAAAATTAATAAACCTCAATTAAAATGTCCTGTGAAGAAAACGCATGCCTTATAAAATGTCTCATGATGAAAACTCTCATGTAAGTCACTACATTCAGTTGTTATAGTTATAGTTGTCATAGTTATTGTCATAGTTAGCTTTCTGTTGATTTGTCTATGGATTATTTATAGCCTAAACTTAAGGTATAAAATTAATTTCATGGTACGATTACACACATTCTTTGAGTTTTAACTAAACAATTTTATCATACTTTTATATTTTCGTGCAAATGAACACTTGTTGTTATTTAACATCAGACGTACATTGCTTGAGTTCTAACGTGTGAACGCTGACGCAGCGGCTGAAGCAAGGAACTGCGTTTTAAGACAGGATGTTGTTTAAGACACCAGGCGACCAACTGTTCTCGGTTTAACAACAAACAGAATTTCGCAGCTGTGTCTCTGCGGAGAGGATGGCCTTTTTCAGTCTTCTCAGTTTATTTAGAATATAAATTATTAACTAAACAATTCTAGTCACACAAAATTACCGAATTTTGTTGCAGGCCTATATTTAAATTATAAAGTACCAGGAGACCGAGCCAAGCTAGGATTGAATTACACATTATATTCATTATATATATATATTATCTTCATTAAAAATATTAACTAAGTCGGGTAATCGATTGAAAAATATTTTAGATTATACAAATAAAAAAAATTAATACACGTTTATACATACTGTGATTCCAGATTTCACGTTATACATAGATGGCAATAGAAATAACCTGTAGCAGCGGTTTTATTAACTGCAGTTACAATAAGCTATAGTATTAATCACAAAGAGTATTACATGGGCATTTTCAATGGCTGTAGAGCGGAAACTATTTTTCACATCCTTGTGACCTACTCCAATCGATTTCTCTTGGCAAAATAATTTAAATCTTTGGACGAAAATTTAAGTTTGTCCGTTCACGCGCTTTTTTAGAGTATAGAATAGGATAGGAATTTTATCTCATGAAATTTAACAATCACAACGATGCTTAATGAGGTTGGTAAATCCCAAATTTGGTTAAAGTGGAGTATCCAAATTGTATAATCAAACCTAATAAAAGCATTTAAAGACGGTTATTTTTAAAGTGCCTATATTTTCCACTTTAATTATAGTTTTAAAAATAATTTTGCACCGCACAGTTTGTAGTTTTTACTGTGTGTAATTGATTTACTCTAACACCGAATAAAATCGATTACTTTGCTACAAACTCATTATCTGACAACCGATTCAGAAAGATTCATTTAGGATAAAATGTGCGTAGTTCCTTTTATTTAATTGATAAACACAAAGAGCATTACATTTTTCCTGTAAAATATATTTTTATATTTACAAAATATGAGAGGTCACTAGGATATCTATTTTTACATTCTCACTTTATACCTAATGTATGGAATATGTATGGAGTATGGTTATCTTAAAACAATGTTGTTTTATCTACACTAAGTCATGGCAGAAATGTAAGTCACCTGTACTAGGCTTACCGTGATGTTGAAAATTAAGCGCATGAATAACTACGGGTCCTATTAAAGTCTCAACAATACAGATAGCATTTTGTTTGAAGCATAACGAGTATTCATCGTTGTAAAGAAAACAATTGTGTAATTGAGTGTAATTTAAAAATAACTTTTCCCTTGAGGCTTTTATCAAGCTTTTTCATCCAGCCACGAGATTGTTTGAGCCACGCCAGGAACGTAGCCATTTGCCGCGGGACATGTTCGCAATCATTTTAGGTTTATTTGTCCATTTCATTTCATATTCCTTTCACTTATGTAAAATAAATTCACAACAACAACATCAAATTGTCTTTGAACCCCATATACAACAAAAACATCGTTTTATTTTCAATTTAAAGTTCTACAAGTGGTAAACTCGATACAATTTGTTCATCTTTATTCTTAAACACACAACACCAGACGATAAATTAAAATTTTACAGAATAAAAATTAAAGTTTTTGCTAAGCAAATTGTGAAAACTAATTCATTAAAAAATAAATTCAAAACATTCTTCATTGAACTGTGGAATTATTTCCAAATGAGTAATACTATTTTCATCTGTACAATATTTTTTTAGGGAATATTTTTAAAAGTTTACTAATTATAAACGACTAATATAAATTCAAGACGTAAATCTTTATGAATGCCCCTAGGTATAACCCCTCAGAATAATATATTTAATAAAAGGAATAGTAAATTTTGTTTCAATTTTAACAATATTTAAAATATTGACATTTACTTTAAGATATAGGCTGAGGGCAGTGATATGTTAAGACCTCAGAAGGCTTTTGTTTACATGGTACGTATCTCAAATGAAAGTTACAGCTGTTTAATACAACGCTGAGCAATAAGACGTATTATTGCAGGCCGGGGCATAATAACTGTTATGGAGCAAATAAACCCTCTTAATAGATTCATAAAAACTGTTATTGTTCTAATAATACAATGCAACCCCTGCAATGGTTAGCAAATAAGCTATTACATTTTCTACTAGCTATATTCACGAACGCTTTCGCATTCAATGGCTCAGAATTAGCTCATACACGTAAATCTTCGATATTACACTCGATTTATGGATCAAGTACTAAGTGGAATTTCAAAGTTAATACAGTAGTAATAAATGCGCCCTGAATTGACAATTACCTACATAAATTATAACGAAGCCTAAATAAACAACATTTAATAGAATTTATTTTGAACAATTTAGAGGAAAACTTCTATTCTGATAAAGCTAAATACAAGACAAACTACTATTTGTTCTGCTGTGAGATAGCAAATATGATTGCTGAGTATGTGCTTCGTAGTTTGAGACCTCTCCATACCAACAAGACCCCAGCACTAGAGCTCCGGCCCAGTGAGAAGCAGCTTACGCACAGTTTCCCATTTGAACACTGTAGAATTACACTAAATGATATTAAAAATACAAAAGAACAATTTTATTCAATTAAAAAACACACCAACATAACCAGAATATTTAATAACAAACTTAATAATAATAAATCTGCTGATAGAATTAATTACTTATAAGTTTAAGTATCTACAAAATACCATTTTATATAATTCTCAAACAGATCAACATAAAATAGTTATTTGTGCAACTAGTGAGCAAAGTGAGCAATAGCCTCACTCGAGAGAAATCCTTACTACAGTATAATGGTTTCTCGAGTGAGGCAATTGCACTTTGTACTCGAGTTGCACATTATATTTTTTCCTACAGTTACCATAATACAAATAAATTGGTAAAGAAACGCGCCTTCACGTTGCAAATCTGGAGTGAGACAAAGTAATTAGAGTAAGACAATGTTAACATTGTCTCACTGATGAGCTAATTGGCCACTTTGCTTTCTCAAATCAGTGAGAGAACATGTACATTGTTATGTGACTGTAGGAAAATAATATTTAATAACAAACTTAATAATAATAAATTAGGTGATGAATTAATTACTTATTAATTTAACTATCTAACAAACACTAATAACTAACAGGCATTAAACGGGTATTAATTATTAAGTGTGACTCTAATATATTTACAAAAT